TTTTGCCGCCGTTTCTTGCCGCCTTACAGCAAAATCCACTTGCACTTCAGGTTTATTCACTGATAAGAGAATTTAGTTCTTATTAAGACCACTTGATTTATTTTCAAGAAAAAAGAAAAGTGATTTACAGCAGCAATTACTTGGGCTGACAGGCGGATTAAGTGATGTGTCACCGGGTTCTGATGATGATGAAGACATAGAGCACAGTGCTATGACAGAGCCTGAAGATTTGACATTAAGGTAGACATAGACAACTGAACCTCTTGTGGCTGTCATGAAATTCGGTTTTATTTTAGTTTTCGTAAGGATTCTAAGCTGGATGATCATCATGACGGTGGTGCGTCACTCGGTGGCGGCTCATCGTGGTCATATGAGGAACAATTCAAGCAGGTTGCTTGTGTTTTCAGTATTCCCTTCATGAATGCCTATGTTAAAATATGTTCAGAGAAGTTCTTTATTTTGAACAGTGTTTTTCTCAGCTTGTGAAAGTTGCCTATATGTTTTGTGGCATTTTAGTTAGATTTAAAAAGTCAACTTGATTTTTTTCGAATATTTCTATGATATTATTAAAAGATAGAGAATGATGTGCTAGAGAGGAAGATTTGGAAAAGCTCAGCTTTTGTAAACCAAGCCTTTATTTTCACAATATATTTGTGAAAAAGTAACCAAGGGTAGCTTTTCCAAGCCAAGGCATGGCTCTACTATCAGATGAGTATCCCGAATATGACGCCAAACTCTTACTTATCTGAGATAACCCTACTGGGACATGAAAACCCAGCTGTGGATTTTAATTCGCCAGGCAAACGCAACTCTAGCGATAAGACCGTTGAGCTAGGAATAGTTTAGTCAGTTTAGAATTCATAAACGAGTTTTTGTCTCTTATATATGAAAGCCAATGACTTATTCTTTATCCGTTTACAAAACTCACTGTAGGATTTGCCTGCCGTGTTACTCAATTCAATAGCATGTTAGCCTAACTACTTAAGTAATAGATTAGATAAATACTATCACAGGAACGTGTTGAATTATCACAATTTAGTGAAAAGGCTAGAATTTTGCATGTGCAAATCTCTTTTATCACAAGACTCTGACACGAAAGGTTGCTACCATATCGAGCAATATTCGGAGGATATTCTTCGCTACTACCGTACTCGGATTATTCACGTCGTTGTGGAGGAATTCATGCGATTGTTTTCATAGCAAATCGCGCTGGGCATGAATGATTTAGGAAGCTTTTTGTAGAGAAGCGGCGCATGCAAAATGACCACATATTGTAGGTTTCGTTGGGTTGACGCCGATTGGTCAGTGCATCGCATAATGGCGAGCTATTGTTATCGCCCACACCCATCTGCCCAAATCATTCAATGAGATTCTTCTGGTAGACCGTGTTCCCTATGACCTCAATCCATAATGTAATATTCCCAGCAGTAAATTTCATTTTGTGAACAAGAATTCCTCTACGTCATAATAAATAGCTTAACCATTACGAAGAGTTCCGTTAAATTATGAAACTGGTTTTAAAAGGTTTATTACTAAAGTATTGAAAAGATACCTAGTTTCCTTTAACACCTGTGGTTTCATTACTCATCGATTGATATGAATGAGCACCAGCGAAGGCTCTCTGCATCCTTTCCTATGCCATGGGTACTTTCAAATCGCTCGTCAGTTTCAATCTTGATGGTTAAGCAGAGCCAAGAAATGCTTTATTGGGCTTGGCTGAAGTAAATATGGGGTGTAGTTGCTTGAAAGCGAAATCCAACTGCCTCTTACACACTTTCCAACTAGCTGTTCTTTGTCTTTTGCTGCACAGCAGGATCTGTATATTTGAACATATTTGGTCCGTGTTTAACCCTAGATGCTAAGGAAATATTTTACATACCCTCACTAACCAGCTTAAGAGCCTTCTTGGGCATGATTGAAAATGAGAAGGGAAAGAAACGAATTGGACAGAAATGTTGGAAACGAAATTGTGTGGTATGAAAAGTTTTATGCAGGTACATAGATACAGAGAGGGCTTTAGGCGATTATAGGCGACGGTTTGATGGAAACAAATAAGGCCTTCATGTTTATAAGCCACTTATGTACTATGTTTGTCACATATTAGCCATACTCTGTAATTATAATAGTTCCATTATTCGTATGAAGTGCTGAGATATCTGCAAAACTCCGGACCACAGGTGTATGCAGTGTAGAACGAACACGCGCTGTTGTCCTTACCGGGGAGCAGCGCACTTCACCACTACACCATCCGGGTCTATTTCACAACATACCCTGCCATTAAGAAGAAAAAGGCAGTAAATAAAAGAGTTAAGATTGTGATTATAACGAGGCCTCAGCTTAACTGGGTTCAATGCCGATATTGGCTCCCCAGATCAATCCCGTTGACGGGTGATTGCTGATGGCAAAAAGATCGATAGAACTAGCTGAGATACATTCAAAGCGAAGGACCCGGGTGGTGTAGTGGTGAAGTGCGCTGCTCCCCGGTAAGGACAACAGCGCGTGTTCGTTCTACACTGCATACACCTGTGGTTCGGAGTTTTGCAGATATCTCAGCACTTCACACGAGTTATATTTCACAACATACCCTGCCATTAAGAAGAAAAAGGCGGTAAATAAAAGAATTAAGTTCCATCATTTTTGAATTGGTCTGACGTTCATTTGAAACATGCTCGGTTTACAACTCTATTGGTGGCTTGGTACTATTACCTTATTGATGGAATAGGCAAATTATGTTTTTGCCAATTAATAAGTGTTATAATAAACCTAGTGGTGAGTTTCTACCAGTGGTTAGACATAAAATGTTTTGTGGTTGCTGCTGTGATCGATCAAGCAACCTATTTGAAAATCAGCTGTCTCCGTTCACTTTCAGTCAACTGGGAGATTAGTTATCTGACCCTAGAATAGGTTCTTTTTGAAGAAAAGAGTGAATCGAAGTAGAATAACCTACAGTGTAGCACTCACCATAGTGAACTAGTACTATAGCCCGCTTCCATAAGAAATTGCTTCTACAGTTTGTTATTGCGTTATTTCTATTTACAATTTCTGTGCTAGAATTCTGTAATGTCCCAGCCTTGTTGGTATTGGTTTTCCGAAGTTAGCCGTATAGCAAAGAGTCAGAGACAGGCAAAGACGTGATATCGTAGTTAGTAGACAAGTGACAACGAAGAATCTCTATAGTGTGGTAGGATATGGTCACAGCAGGAAAAAGCTGCTCTCAAAAGGAGCTAAAGAACAGGTTTGATAGAGAAGAGTAGCTGTCTTATGGTCATCTGCTGTTAATGACGTTTACAACTCGCGACATACGGCTGATTCCTCATAACACGAGGAAAAGCGAATGATTTATGACCAATACTGATCAGACGCTCCTCAACGCTCGTGAATCCACTAGTAATTGAGGTCTTTAAAACCCGTAGCCCGAATAGTAAAGAGGGATGCGTGGGAATTGCAACTACCGTAGACCTGTGCTTTTTCATAAAAGTTTTTTTTCTTTTTTAAGAGCAAGTAGTTATCATAGCTTACCGTGAACATATCTTTTGCTAAAAATGGTTAGAGCAATAATGAATTCAAGAATAATTTTTCTGAAGGAAATCGTGCCTCTCTAACTACCAACCCAGTTTTTTTCCGTTTAGAAGCTTTTTTTTTTCATTTGAACCGTCTTCACGTCTACTGTGTGGATCACAGCACTTCTCAAATTCGATTCGTATCCTCGCATCCATTGTCGACGGATCTTCTAAGTTTTACGTATGGCTTCGGTTGCAGCTTGAGGAAATTTTCATTTCATTTTGAATGCCGTAGAATCCCGCTCGAGCAATTTTCTCTGGAGTCGTAAGATAGTGGGGCTGGAGAGCTCGCGATGGGCTTGCAGAGAGTGATTTTTTTCTAGACAAGTCCGGTATCAATTTCCCGACCCAGGAGGGAAGAGAGGCTTGGTTGATCCGGAGCGCAATCGAACGGCACCATGCTCGTGATGACGGACGTTACTACCACTATGCTATCCGTCACTTAGAAGCCTTTTAGATCACTTTAGAATGCGTTTATGTTAAAATTTATTAAAAACTCACTTAGTAGCATGAGTGAGCAATTGGTATCTACATGGGAATTGTTTAGAGACTTTTTATAAAGATGAATAATTATATGAAATTGAGACTACTAGATGTTTCGATGACGTATTCATTGAATTCATTACTGAATCTGGGCAATTTTTGGCATCCTGAAATTATTCCGTTTAAGTTTGTGGTACATTACAAGGAAATTCTACTGTAGATTGCCGATTTTACTTATTTATTTCCTTCTTCTTCCAGTTGTATCCAATATATCCATCTCTTGGCATTTTTATTACTGTTTTAAAATTTTCAAGAAGATTATTCCATATATGTGTTTTTCTGGATCGCAGCTCCCAAGCTCCACTATATAACTGCCTCTCAAATAAACTGTGTCGATCAATAGCGCTGCGTTTTTCATTGCCACCTTCTCTAATGGGTTATAAGTGCGTCTCCTAACGAATGTATCGTAATCCTACCGTAGTAATGTGGCTAAGGCTCAGTCCACTTGTGCATCTTATAGAAAGCCAGTCACTAATTGAGATGAGCGGCATCGCAAATTACATTTTGCGTTGAATATGAATAGTACTTTCTTTAAGCTCATTCATCAACAGCATTGTGGAGAGAAATGAGATGAGTTTGTCATTTTGGACATCGGATAATTATTCGCTTCTTATAGACATTTAATTTCGTTGAAACACGCTCATTTAAAGTTATAGCTCTTTCAGAGAGGCTGTACGAAGTATATCAAGTGGATTTATGCTTGCAATCACCTTAGTAAACATACGAAACGCGTTGGTTAGAGATACTCTGTAGTATATGAGCAGTTCTTGGCTCGACCTCATGCTATAGGATAAGGAAACTCTTCACCTCTTTGGGACGGCAATTTACCATCAGACTTGCGTGGAACGTTAAAAAACAGTGAACTTGATAAGTCGAACGACCACCGTTAGTTATCGTTTGAGAAAAGTGTGCATTCAGTCTCCTCTTCGATTCTACGAATGGAGTCGCACAATTCCTCAGAGGTTGATCAACACCGAACGGTTTAAATTTTTCTTCTTGTTAACAGAGATTCAGGTTATTTCCATAAATAAAGCTAATAAAATTTGCATAATAATGAGTAGAAGTTCACCAGATAAACGGTAATATGAAAGTAAAGAACTTTTAAAATGGAGCATATTGGTTAAGAAAAAGGTGTTCGCAAAAACTAAGCAATGACGCTAAGCGTGAACAGCTGTGAAATTTAAAGATATGTGAGATCGGATTCAGATGTTTTATTGTCTTTCCACGTTAATCGAAAATATTTCATACTTCCTTTGTCTTCCAGTTATACGAGTTATCCGACGATGCGAAGCGGAAGGAATGGCTAGATGATTGGCTGAGCTTCATGCATAGGATCGGTTAGTTACTCACTGAAAGGATTCTTTGTTTGGAATAAAATAAAGTTAAGATACGTTAACGATCTTATATCAGGTTTTCATATAAGATTTCAATTTATGAGATTTTTTTTTACAACACTTGGTATGAATTCAAGTCATCTACAAAGTTTTCAAGCCAAGACAGAGATGATCTTAAAAACCAGAGATAGTTTGGTTTTATGCCTAGCCTCACTCTGGATAACTGTGCTTTATCAGCAGAGATATATATAATATCTAACTAGTGATTGAACTCTGTTTTGACTGTATCCACCGTGTTTTCTTTCAAAGCGGCAGCAGCAGAAAGTGATAGGTGTAAATGGATGGATTATTTTGATATCGCCTTAACAAAATCTTATTTGGTGAAAAGAAATTTTTTCCACGCAACGGAAGCTTTTTTTAAAGATAATAACGTAAAATGAGTTAGAGTAATTATGTGGAGATTATCTTCAGAACCCGTTTCAACGACCCCGCTTACTAGTTGTCACCACCACTCAATCAATAACGACAGTAGATCTGTGTAATTGCAGGCCGTAAAGAAAAGACAGAATACACTAGATTAGTATTCGGTTTTTCCTTGTCTGAATTTCAAACAATACAGGGAGCATTTGGAGTAATTGCATTTGTAGTATGAACTGCAATACAGTTCAATTTGTGAGCTAGTTTGCACACCAATTATATTACATGGGGAAAGAGTCGCCTCCTGCAGAATACCTAGCAAGGATGAGTTTTTAATGTTTTTCAAGGACGTCTGATTGAAAGCTGTCGAAAAATAATGGTGAGATTCTTTAATAGATTGAAGTTCTGTCTATCCAATAACATATTTAGTTGAATACGTGAATGGCCTGTCCTCACTGATTGTGCGGACCCCATCATAATCTCCACTTTTCGGAGATTTGCTGGTTAAGCCAGTATGGTTCCCAGGAATCCCGAGGTCAGCCAGACCAAAGATTGTTCCCACTTGTCACCACTACAGGCAGTCACCGCCTTTGAAGATCAGATGGAGGTTTTCCACCGTACGACTTTAATAGCAGAACAGTTGTGGATCCTACTATTGGTTTACTCTTAGCTAGGCACTCTGATGGAAACGCCAAACTCCTTCTCAACTTGGCAGACCCTACCGGGAGGATGGATCCCCCGCTTTACATCGCAGGTCGACACCCAGGAACACCTCTCAGCCACGATTAAGCGGTAAACCGTTGGGATGCTATCCAATGAAACGAACAAAAATTTTGAACGTGTTTTCTTTTATCTAAATGGAACAAAGGGATCAGTTTCGCATTCCTAAAGCTGAAGTGATATGACTAAAAGAGAAATATGATTAAAAGTATTGTAAATAAAACATTGAAAAACCAGAATTTTTCGTAGCTCTTAAAATTGGTAGAAGTTCAGCGTTAATAGTTCCCGAAATCAACTCTCTATTAATCTCAGCAATGGATTACAAATGTGTCGTTTTCTTTCTCAGTAGTCTCAACATTGTTATACAACATATGTTTACTTCCATACAAAAGTTGAATCGTCATCCATATGCGGATCTGATCCTAACCGCCTCTACGTCTGTGTTTCACACAGCTGTCTAATGTGCTCGAACATCAAAAAGATTCCATGAGTTTGAGTACATTCTACCTAATTTCCTCGAATGAATGTGAATAATTATCTTTAGATGAGCGGTAGATTTATCCGAAATTCTTCATTGGGTACGCATATGATTTAAAAGAATAACTGTCAAGGAGTTTAAGCCGAAAACCATGATTCTGGTATCCTGTCAAGAAGTTCAGCATGTGTGGCAGCTGATATGTTTTAGATTAACACCAAAGCGCAAAATTTAGTCCAAGGAACAGATACTCTATGATGATGTGTGAAGTTGACAGGGTTTTCTAAGTTGAGTTACGAATTTTTGATCCTTCCTGAAGTGAATTCTGCATGCGTGACTTCCCAATAAGCGGAAAACTATTGAAACAATGGGTGTTTGCAAATCACATGCGTGTAAAGTGTGATCAAGCTATAGGTGTGCGAGTTTTTTTTAGCGTTCTTGTTATGGAACTTGCAGATGGAGCACGGGGCATGCTTGTAGTACCCTTTCGAAACTTTGAGAAAACCGAAGTTCTCTATAAATTGTGTTTTTGTGGAATAAATCTAATGTCAACTACATGGGCTGGCGAAAGCACGATTACTCAGTGATAAAGGTTATTAAGATGTTATTTTTGGAATATGAAAGAAGATATTTTACTCAACGAATCCTCGTTAAGAGGCCGCGTCACAACTTGTCATGCGGGTATTCATGTTGTGTATTCACGTTTTCGAAATAAACGACCAGCTCTGCGATTGCGTGAAATCTTTCCGATAGAAGATCTTTACTGTCCTAATCGTTTTCGTTGACAGTAAAGATTATTTCTACCCACCGATGGACGAATAGCGAATGATGTTCACAAAAATCACATTTCTTTCTTTTTGCGCCCATTGATCATGATCTGTCTCTTAACTACTACTTCATAGTCTTCACGTCTTCCTCTTGTCAGTGCATAACATTTTTTGCAAAGTGTTTTCTTAATCCAGCTCATTTCCACAAACTATACATAGGATTACGGTATCTCCATGCTACTTGCTCGGGTGTGTACGCGCTCGGTCAGCGTCGAATGCGTCTGGGTCGATAAATCGAAGGCGGTGGCGAGAAGCAGCAGAAGAACGGATACGAATCGCTCGAGCAGCGACAAATCAAACATTACAATTCTGTTTGTTTGGGGAGTTTTTCTCAACCTCGTGGTTCCGATGTATGTCGTCGTGCCTTCTTCAAACCCAACGACCACACACAGACACACAAATTTCACTCTTGACAGCCAGCTGATTAACACATCTGCGACAGAGCGGGTTTTTTCGACAGTGGTCGATAGTTTCCTAAGATCTCGAGAGAGTTGAAAAGCTCTAAAAGAAACGTGTCTGAAAAAAGTTTTGATCTAGTTTTCCACACAGGTTTTCGGTGGTTTTTATAAATCTGTGATAGCACTGCCGTCTTACGGCTTGAGAATGGAGGTGATTATTGTGGTTATTAAATGATTTGTTGCTAACGATGTACAACACAGATTAAGAGACGATTTGTTAGAACAAGTATATGACACAACAAAAAATTACAAGTAGTCATTCGTTCGTAACTGGAAGGTGTGGATGTCGGGCTGCGATGTACAGCGGTGGATTCATCGCCCCAACAGGGCTTTTCAAGCTACTTTTCAAGCTAACGAGGAGTCAGCCGGTTCAATCACGAACTTCAGCTGGGGATAAACCAATACCAGGATCCCATACCGTCGCAGTATCAAACAAGTCGCATGGTGGCAAATCTCCCTCTAATCCACAAGGAGAGCGACTGCCTGTAGTGACAATGGGGCAGACTTCAACTGAGCTGTTCTCGGGATTCTAAACGGCTAAATCAGCAAAACTCCGAAAAATGGAAATTATGCTGGGGTTCAGCAACCAATAAAGACGGACCAACTAAGTAAGCAAGGATGTGACCATTCGTTGGCAAAACCCTAAATAGGAGACCAGAGCTAAGTTACTGAGTTTATTGGATAGTTTTATATCTTTTCTACTCTATCTGTGTTCCGTAAGAACTGTCCAAGCTTGGGACTGCGGTTAAGTTTTCTAATTTGGATATTTTCATTGGATATTGAGAACGATCTTGTTTCAACTGAATTTACATGGGGACTAGTAGCAAGTCAAAGTTGAAATTGGAAGCAATCTGATAATAAAATGGAAGATGTTGGAAATATCAACAGATAAGACCGTTGGAATGAAAAAATTAATAATAGAAATAATAGATAGATAAGCGAATGATCCGTATGTTGTTCAGGAAAGCCGGTGACACGAATCCCGATAATGGCGAAACAGGTGCTCGATTTATACGAGTTGTATCGTCTTGTTGTCCAACATGGTGGTCTTGTTGAAATTATCAACAAAAAACTCTGGCGAGAAATTACTAAAGGTCTTAATCTACCATCCAGTATCACTTCGGCTGCGTTCACCCTTAGAACTCAGTCAGTTATACTTTGTCTTAGAAACTGGATTTTTTTTTTGGATTTCTATTAAAAATCTAGCATTTAAATTTGAACACTGCAACTTAATAGCGAGAATATTGCAGATACCAGAAATACCTTTACGATTACGAATGCGAAAAGGAAGCACTATCAAACCCATCAGATCTTCAGGCCGCCATTGATGGAAATCGGCGAGAAGGTGCGGTCAAAACGAAAATGACAATGCCATTCAAAATTTTTCTGCTGTTTTTTCGAAAACGAGTGAAAACCATCAATTGGTGGAAGTTTTGTAATCGAACGTAAAAAAATAATGACTACAAAATCTGTGAACTGTTTTTGCAGAAGCATTACGAGGTTGAGAGGAAAAGAGTAGAGGTGACTACATATCATAAGAAAACCCCAGCGTTTATTACTGGTCTTACTAGTAATGAGATTATTTTAATGATGCTGTGATATTTGCAAAACTCCGGACCACAGGTGTCTGCGGTAGGGAACGAACGCGCGATTGTCCTTTCTGGAGTGTAACGTGTTCACCACCACGCCATGCGGGTTCATCGTTTCACTGTCTATCAGCTAGTTCTATCGTTCTTTTTCATTCTCGCTGATGGGTGATTGCTGATGGCAAAAGATCGATAGAAATAGCCGAGAGACAGGCGAAGCGAAGGAATCGCATGGTGTGGTGGTGAACGCGTTGCTCCCCGGAAAGGACAATAGCGCGTTCGTTCCCCACCATAGACACCTGCGGTCCAGAGTTTTGCAAATATCTCAGCAACGTTGTGGTTGTATTTCGCTTAGTAACCTGCCATGAAAATTATAGAAGGCAGAAAACAAAACGTTAAACTCTGTGAATAGAGTCAAATGCATGGTAGAGCCTAATGACGAACGCGGAACGCTTTCTGCTTTCATGAGTACTATGGTCAGCACTACTGTCATTAGATTGTTTTAATTCTTCCTAATGGACGTACACTAAGAATTGAAACCCAATTTTGATCTTGAGATTCTTCGCATCATTTTTTTATATAGTGTCAAATACTTTACCATTATTATATTTAGAGAATAAGATAATTTACAAAGTTTTCAGCTATTTTCTGACTTAAAATTATTACTATTACAGGCCGCCGGAATGCCTCGGCACCGAACTTCGGACCACTCGGTTATCCTCTACCGCATGCTTCGACTGCAGCCAATCTACTCACGAAACCATTCAACGGCTTAGGAGTGAGAACTGGTAATTATGGTGTGATACGCTCATGCTAGGATAACTGCTGTTAAAATCTATTCTGAGATAGAAATATATACCAATGTAAGCATGCATTATTTGTTAGGGGAGGGACTTGGCTGTGATAATAGGTCCACCGGAGTATTGTGAATTGTAGGCTATTGATGAATTTTGTATCTAATTCACATGTTCCTCGGGCTTTTTCACTTTTTCCAGCGATTTTAGCAGTTCACAAACCAATAAGTGAACGAAGCAACCTTCTCGAAGTGATGTCCACAAAAGTTTGCGTTTTTTTGCCCTAGGCAAAAGGATTATTTCACTGTGGGAAAAAGGGTAAAAGAAGAATGGAATCATAAACACATTTAATTTTGCATTCCTGCTAAAAATAATGAAGAATTCGGAAGCTCAGTCATTTCTCTGGTAGTGTGTTTCTTCGGTTCCTGTTTTTTGTAACAATTTAACTTGAAGGCCGAATGGGGTACGAATGGGGAAAAACGTTTGTCCTCACTTAGCATTCCAGAGGTGTTTCGTTCGTGTTGTTTTTCTTCACGAAGAACAAAGCCAGCATGTTCCCAATACGGCTGTACATCTGTAGATCTCTTACAGCCTTGGCATTGTGTTTTAGACTCATCTACGAAGCATACTACGATTTCTTGTTCATCATTTTCCATGGTCAGTCTTTCAGGAAGTCCAGTTTGTTCCATATTGTCATGGTTCAGTAGTCAAACTTATTTGGACATTAGTAATAAAAAATATAAATAATAAAATATTTAATATCGTAATAAAATAAAAAGGCTCGTGACTGCAACGGGAGTATGTTTTACTTTTCAATGTATGGTCTTTCGTTAGGTATTATTGTGGTTATAAATTTTTACAATAGTAAAACTCCGGACCGCAACCAAATCGGGTCTCTCAGCTAGTTCTATCGGTCCCTAACATCAAATACATTTCGCAACATACCCTGCCATTAAAAATTGCTGATGGCAGAGTTCAATAGAACTAGCTGAGAGACAAGCGAAACGGAGGACCCGCATGGTGTGGTGGTGAATGCGTAAATACCCGAAAAGGACAGTTGCGCGTTCGTTCCCTACCGCATACACCTGCGGTCCGGAGTTTTGCAAATATCTCAGCATCATTAAAGTTATATTTCGCAATATACCCTGTTATTAAAAAGAGTAGGAACTAAATAATAAGTTAAAGCTATCACTTTAGTTTTCCAATCATAGATTGGTCTTGGAAGAACAAAAGAGCGGTCTTAGGAAAAGTATATGGAAAGGTCTTTAGTGGAAGGTATAAGGAAGAATTCATTGTTTTTCCGTTACAAACGCTTCAGCTAGCAGTTCACTAATACCGAAGGTGTTACTGCACTTACTTGAACCGTGACACATAAGTGACACCCAATGGATGATCATCCATTATTATTAACATAACAAATAAAATTGAGCCAGATAGCTATTTTTTAACTAAAATCCTTTCTTAAAAGAAAAGAAATTAGATATGATTAATTTAAGAGTTTATGGATGACGAGAACGGGTTGACGATGTCTTTACCTCAGAACAATCTCCTAGCAGCTTATAGAGCTGAGCAAATGGCAATGTTTGAAGCACAACAGCGACAGATGGAAAGAGCACAGCGGTAAGGGCCATCAATTGGCGTTGAAGGTGAAAAATTAAAAGAATACTTCATAGATTAGAAAATAAGGACTTCCTCTATCTTTTTTAACTTGTTTTCTTATTTACTCACTTCATGCTTCTTTTAGACAGACATTTAAATTAGTATTGAAAAATTTCCAAGTAAACCGTAAGTTTTTTCGTCGAAATCGAACTATGCCGTAAGGAGTAGAAAATCGCAAAATTCGTCATCTGTACCACCTACGCTCTTAAAGTCTCCATCTATCCCTTTCACGCTTCACTAACAGTGTAAGCAGCAGTTGGTTCTGCTCGCTCCGAGATCTTGAAGAGTACCAAATTTTTAAAGGGTTTTCGTAGAGAACTCTAGCGGTTTTCCTGCCCTGTATTTGATAACCCGTGAAACCCACTCATTGGTCGCTGCCACTTCTCGGGTGTCGCTTTACGGATCTCTTATCTGGCTAAGCTACGTCATAATGGTGTGTATATGTTTGTTTGTTTGTTTATTTGCACGATGTTTTGTGGCCGACGTATGTTGGAATTTCTAATTCCTTATCACACTTTCGTGCTACGAAATGCTCCTGCCATAATCGTTTCAAAGGCCCATGCCGATTTTTCATCCCTGGTTTACATTTCGTCATCAGATCCTCAATGAAAAGCTTTTAGTGCTGCATAGTAAGGTGGTCACCACAGCTCGCCCACCTTTAGGCTAGCTGGAATAGCCGTGATATTTTAGTAATTTAGTATCACGCGTGTTGCTCGATACTGCATGCTCTTTGGATGACGCAGGAATGGAGCTTCTCAGTGTTTTCAGCGATGCATACTCAGATTTTTGGCCGAGATTTTCTAGCATTGAGGAGAAGCTCGTTTACCGGAAGCTACTCCGAAGCACCTTCGACGTGCTTGTCAATCACCATTACAGAGTTTTGACCAAATAGAAGATCGGAACACAACAATACAGGAAGCTCACATCCAAATATTTGAATTTGGCTCTGTGCATAGAGCAGATAAATGTCTTTTCCGTGCAGCATAGGCGACCTCACCATTTGAACCTGCTTCATTCTAGGACAAATAGGAAGTAAACTTTGGTTAAGGATTGGTCTATATCCGCCACGTGAGAACACTGAGCAAGTTCCTGAGGAGGGCGATCCGTGAAAAAGACAAAGAAAATGAAAAATGGCAATCGGAAAAAAAGTTGTGTGGATACATCACCCCTATTATCTACTGCTCTGCTGGTAACTAACTCGGGCGACCACAGTTAAATCCTTTTTTGTTCCTATCATGCGTCATACCGTTCTATAGAGGACCGCTTGCTTCAGAGATCTGGAGCACTCCATATTTTAGTATAACTCTACTTATTCTTACTTTCCTTTAATCAAAGTCGATTATAGGCATCATTGTTAAGGCTGCATAGCCGTTTGCTCTTAGCTGGCCTTCCTGGTGGGAATATAGAAACTTCCAATTTTATTTTCCATAGTCCACATCCAGCACATCTATAATGCTTTTCGCGCGCATCCAAGACTTACGCATTTGGAATATGTTATTTTGGAAGATATCCTAGAGCCTCCTTTAGTAAAAGTATATGGAGGCACAGGTGCAGAGATGAGAGTAACATTAAAAAAGTCAATCGCACTACACCTACTACCATTACATAACGTCCTCATACTATTGTTTGTGTCCTACTTTACACACCTGTTGAACAAGATCATTAAAGACTATGACAGTTTCAAATACAACCTTGCTAAATCCATAGAGTCGCACTGCCTGATGTTTTAGAATAAAAGTTAGGTATATGTATATGTAATTGTAAACATTCCGATTTCAGGGCGGCCGCTGAAGCAGTTGCACGACATGGTGCTTTAACGATAACGCCGTCAGGACGAGCGTCACCGTCATCAGTGGACTCAGATGCGCAGACGAAGAAGGCTCGGCTTGCTGATCCTCCAACGGAATCGTCGGCTAGCGCCGGCGGTCAAATGAAAATAACTACAAGGAAACCGGGTGAGCTCGAATCCTCCGTGGAACAACGCTTTAACATTTATTTACTTGCTACTATTTAAAAAAATAGCAGGCAGTAGAAAAAGGTTGAAACATTGTGATTTCGACTATGCCTTCGGCTTAACTAGGCTTAACGCCAATATGTTCTCCTAGATCACTCCCGTTGACCGTTGATTTCTGATATCACCGTTAGGGTAAAAAAAAGCTGACTTAGAGAAGGGAGAAGCTAGGTCCTCAATTGGTGTGTTAGATGGTATGTGAGCTCCCGGAAAGGGTTATCGCGAGTCCGAAGCCCAACTCAGATTCCGAGTTCTGCTCATACCTCATCATCCTTGTGGTTGTATTCTGTAGGACTATTGAAAGTGGCTCTTAAAAAACACTACGAAATATGCAGTGTTTGGTTACTCTGCGATAGGAACTTTTTTGTAGCATTCATTTATCGGACCATTTTTGTAAACTTTTAATGCTAGGTTCCTTGCAAAAAGTTAAGGAGAAACTTGAAGGAAACAAATTAAGATTTTTTTTTACATGGTCTGTCTTTTCACATCTGTTTAGAAGGTCCTAGCACAATTGCATTCAATTTGTTTTCTCGCGTTCATCACCCACGAAGGTCTTCCAACTCACGTGTGGCGCTTGAAGAATTTCCTCTCATCACAAATGTTGTTGAATGCTGGTCGAGTCAATTCCCACTAAGGCCGTAAGATAGCCAGGCTATGGCGTTCCCACTTGGATTGCAGACAGTAACTTTTCCTAGACAAATCAGATACCAGTTTCCTGGTGAGAAGCTTGTTAAGTCCGGAACGGGATCATACTAGCGCCGTGCTCGTGATGATCGATATCACTACCATTGTGCTAGCCAAACTTGAAAAAGTCGTTAAGTTTCGCACCACTAGTTTTCGCAAGCAGCAAGGAAAATTGCTTTCATAAAAAGTTTGAAGGAAGTAAAATAAGTCGTTCGTAGACAGTAATTGAACTCTTTTCAGAAGGTCAGCAGGCTGACAACTCTATGGTGGTATCGATGGAAATCAACGGCGTCACCTATCAAGGAGTGCTATTTGCCCTTGAAGAGGGCAGTAAAACGTAGTGATTAAATGTCTTGATTACGGTAATTGAATAGTACAACAAGCATCATGAACAACCTTAGTCAGCATACAATGTAAATATAAACCCTATGCCACTAATTTAACTGAAAAACTCCCTAATGGGTGTTTCTTGTGCATTTATAGTTTTTTATTTCTTTCCTCATGAAAATTCTACCCCTTTCTTACTGGTTTTCTAGCAAGAATGTTTTGGTGCAGCAGAATTGCTAGAGCCACATCTGCATAGACCACTTTAGCTTTTTGCCTACCGTAGTAGTTTTTTCATAAATAGAAATATTTTACTTGGCTTTTTAGGTAGCACAATCTCAAAAT